GAAGTAGTCCTCTTTTTCCATATGGAACGGAATGCTAAAATTTCCTTACCATTTGCTACATTTTCTAATTTCAGTCTCTTGTCAGCCAAAATTAGCAATAACAGGAAATCGAATAGTATTTTAAGTGCTGTCTTGCTCGGTTGGATTGCTGATTTTGGAAAAACCCTTGAAATTATTCAGTTATCATCCCAACCAGTTTATTCTGATAAATGGTAAGCACCTGTTGCCCGGTGAGGAGAACTGTTATTGAATATAGTCTTCCTGGTCATGTAGGTTTTGGCAGCAGGTACCCATCCCCCATGGATGTGACGCTTTTCAGGCCATTTGTCCATTCTGTGCCCAGCCCTTGGAAGGTGAAGATGGCTTTGTCAAACTCATATTCTCAACCGACGAATAACTTAGTTAATAATACACTTGAAAAATATTATTTCATCCTGATTGGCTATGAGTGCAAAGTTGTAATCTGTGTGCAAGTAACAAGATTAATACAAAGACACTTAAAAATGGCAAATGATCATCTCCAGTAGTTTAACCCTTTGACTACCAAATTTTCACCAAAAAATGCAGTTTTTAATATTATTGCTAAATCAGTTTTTTGGCTGCCATGACGCTAAATGGGCCTAAGTTTTGCTGAAAATTTTGTTCGCTAGAGACTAAGATAGGTCAATTGGACAAAATTATGGAGAAAAAAGAAAGTGTTTAGAAAAATTGTGCTTTTCTTTAACCCTTTGACTACCAAATTTTCACCAATAAATGCCATTTTTAACCATTAAATCGGTTTTTTTGGCTGCCATGATGCTAAATGGGCCTAAGTTTTGCTGAATGAGCTGTTATACGTATAAACACGTGACATGTATATGCGTCCTTGGGGGTCAAAGGGTTAAAGGTAGTCAAAATTTGTACTTAAGGTCTTCCAAAGCTATATGTAGCTGAAGAGATAATTACATGATTTCCAAACTCTCCCAAAGATCACCTAAAGCCTTCGAAAAATTACAAATATCATCTGAACATTTTTGAACACCTGGGAAGATCAGCCAAACCCTTCCAAAGATTTCTGAACAGCTCTGAAGATCATCTTAAGATTGCCAAAGATCGCCTGAAGACTGCTGAAGACTCTCAAACATTTTCAGAAGGTTTTTTTTGGAAATTTCCAAAGATAGGCACTGCACGCTGCCTTAGTGATCAGTTCATGTACAGCCAAAGGCTTCATAGGCTCTTTTTCAAGTGTATTATTATTAAGTCATCGCATGATTATTCTCATGCAATGTGGAATAATTTTTTTAGAAACTACAAATATTAACTAAATTAATTGCTTTAATTAATGAGTGTATTAGCCTTGGAAAAATTTACTTGTGGTTATTTATTCCAAATTGTACTGGAAATCATCTGATTATCTATACAAATACAACGAATAGTGTACAGCTTTACTGCAATTATTCACATAAATTTATATGTTACCACTGGGTTAAAAAATAATTTCTTTGTGAAATAGTGTATGGTAAATATTTTGTCACATATGGTGGCTTCAAAGGGACATCAATAAATCAAACATAATTTTCTGCAAGTTTGAGTTTGAGCTTGACTTTGAGCTTGACTTTGAGCTTGACTTTGAGTTGGAGTTGGAATGCTAGTCGAGTTGGAGTTCGTTCCCACGATCTTCATGTTTTTCAATATTCACGTTTTTCAAACTTCTCCACTATTCCCTGAGTAACACTGAACTTAAAGTTGTCACGCCTCAAAAAAACTGAGCAGTCCTGCTGAAACAACTATGATGTCAGACAATGAGTTATTGCTATATCTCGGGCCAAGTACATCTGGTGACAAGGATGTCGATTAAACAACCCCAAAAACACCTTCTTACTGTCCTCCAGCAGACACCGAAGAACACATGAAGGAGAAACCAAATGATGCTTCATGAAGATTCACCTCCACCATCACAACCCAGACCACCAGCTCGTGACACCAACGAGAACAACCCGCCAGAGCAGAAGTAGCCAGAAAAAAAGAGGGACAAAATGAAAATATATGGACCATCAATCAATGGAGGCAAAATTGTCAAAATAGAAAATTCTATCGTTAAACTGGAAAGACATTTGAAAAATTGGACATGTCCGAAATCATTGCAGTACTCCGCTCGGGCCAATATCGCATCTGATAGTGCTTTCCAAAAGGAAATAAGGACATTAAGCAAACTGCCAAACAGGCACTTGTTAACGCCCTCACACGCTTCCATAAACGAAGGCTTGACAGCCTTAGATACAAACTTAAGACTAGGCCTACACTTTCGTCTCAAAGACGTACTGATGTAAATAGGCAGAGTCATTTTGAGTCACAATTGGGGTCAAACATTGTAAACAACGACGATGTAAAACTAGCCAAATTGGAGAAAAGGATCATAGACCTCACAAATATTGTGTCAACACATGTAATTAACACAAATAAACATGTGGAAAGTACAACATCTCTGAACCATCAGCAACCAACACAAACCATTTTAAGAGCCATTGCCTATCCAAAAACCAAAGGCGTAGAATGTGCCAAAAAACCACCACAAACAGGCATCTAACCACAGAAAGGGAGACTAATGAAAAATTTCTAAAAAATTTTTCAAGCCACCAACTTACTGACAACCAAGTCAGCGTGATATCAAAGGGTCTCAAATTTATCCCAACACCCGTGACAAACAAGGCAAAAATCAGGCATCAACTCATGCAAGATTTTGAACAGTTTGCAAGAAGAATGCACCTTCAATACATATTTCATGGTCAAAACAAAGAACCGCGTCCATTCCATGTTAAATCAAACTACAGTGGGTGACAAAAGTAGTTGAGACACTTTTAGGAAACAACGCTTTTCGATATTTAAGCACTTGTTCCATTTTATTTGCATCTAGCATTGATTCTCTGATAGCCCCAGTCCCCCTATTCAACGTTGTGTAGGTGCTGTTGTCTGTGCAGTCCAAGAAATGGAAAAAAATCAACATTGTTTGGGGGGGAAGGGGGGGAAATGTGTCCAAGACACTCAAAAATTGAATTTTACTGCCAAGTGTCTCAACACTTTTGTCTCCCATTGTAGATACCACCGTGTAGGCCTGTCATAATCTCTTGTTTTCAACAGTACAAATCTGTACCCAAACTTGAACTTGAACTTGTACTTGAACTCCAACTCCAACTCCAACTCAAACTCCAACTCCAACTCGAGCTCCAACTCCAACTCAAAGTCGAAGTCAAAGTCAAACTTGCAGAAAATTATGTTTGATTTATTGATGTCCCTTTGAAGCCACCGTAGGTGATGTGTTTCGTGTTCTTATACTGCCTATGAAAATGCTGGTCATATTTAGATAGAAGGCATGTAAATTGGAACTTGGGACTGTTTGTTTGTGTAGTTATTGAACTTGTACAGTAGTTGTGTCTAACTTTGAGACATTGCTTTTTCACTAACATTAAGAGTGGTTCTATTGAATTTAGAACAGTGTCTGAAAGGTTGATACCCAGATATCTGGGAGCCTCTAGCGTTTGGAATGTTTGGAATGTCGCTTTCACAGTGCCTTACCTGCAATGGACTTGCATTGAATTTACGGGNGCAGTTCAAATATATGATGTTTCATATATTCACGTGTATTCTTCATCGTCTACAGGTATATTACGAACTCGCAACGTCACCAGCTCCCAGTTGGCTTGATACATGTTACTCAGTTGGTAGAGCACTGCACCTGTATCGCAGAGGTCATGGGTTCAAATCCCGTTCAGGCCTGAATGTTTTTTAGGCTTTAGTTTCACAGCTGCTTAAGTTGTGTGTATAACTGCGATGATCAATCGTGTCCTCATAAGAACCAAATTATTGGACACAGGGTTTATCAGACTCTGGAAGATTTAACTAATTTTTCTTATCTTTTTTGGTTTCTCACTGTACTTTAGCATCACCCCCTCACTGATGAGAGAGGCAACTTACAGCACATTGAGACTGGGTTTGTATGAACCTCTTAAAGAGTGGTTTGGAGCGACAGACCCGGCCCACACACCTCTCTGGAAAAAGCTCTGTTCAGGAGCAATTGCTGGAGCTATTGGAAGTGCAATAGCATGTCCGACTGACGTTATAAAGATTCGCTTGATGTCATTACCCTCGGGTAATCAGTGGGAGTACAGGCACACGCTTCATGCATTCCAGGCTATTGTGTCAAACGAAGGAATTCGTGGACTTTGGACGGGCGTTAGTGCTACCGTGAAACGTTCTGCACTTGTGTCAGCTACAGCGGTGTCATCATATGACCACGCTAAGCACACAATATTAAATGCCGAACTACTAAGTGAAGGGCCTGTTCTACATATTGTAGCGTCCTCTATAGCAGGCTTTGTTACAAACTGCGTCACATCGCCTATAGACATGGTTCGTACGAGGTACATGAACCAGAAAAAAGACCACAACAAGAAACCCGTACTGTATAGAGGAACAATCGATTGTATTGTGAAGACCGTTCGCAAAGAAGGACTCTTTGGGCTTTACAAAGGGTTTATACCGAACTGGACAAGAACTGGTACGCATACGGTGGTGACATTCTTTGTTTTTGAACAATTGAGAGCTTTTGTGGGTATGAAGCCAATTTAAACTCAAGATTCAATCTGTGTTTGAAAAATACGATCACTTTAGTCTACCTGAGTAGAGAAACCTTGTTTAAGAAATCAAATGGTAAACATTTTCCGTGTTTCTTTCGAGTTTTTGTAGAATTCTACTGTCTGATGGTCTAATGCAAATGCTACAATCTGATTGGCTGAGCTGTCATCCACATACTATTGACGTGTTCCAATGTTTCGGTGGAAGATTTCGAAATACTATTTGATAACGCAGTTCCCAAGAAGACTAAAGGAAATTGCTGTAAAGCCTCAAAATTGTTCAATGAACTGTTATGAGAGCGTGTAAGCAGCTATACAATCCGCGCGCGATTTTGCAAAAGTTCGGTCACAGTATTTGTGTTATTTTGGTCACGTACAAAATTACCTTTAAATTGAAGAAAACCTGAAAATAGTAGATTTACTAAGATAGAAAAACACCAAAGAGGTAACAATAAACCAGAAAAGAACAAGGATGGTTAAGGATGGAGAAGATTAACACGGATTACAAACCTACAAAGGACGAACTTGAAAAATTTAGGCCAATCTTTTCAAGATGCACAAACCGTGACGTAGCTTCTTTAAGCATCTCAAAAAATGAGCTGCGCCACGGATTATGCAATTTGCTATCGTCCTAAGACCTCCTAAGTCCGTATGTCTTTGATTAAATCCCTTTTTTTCCTTTCCGGATCAATATTAATCCTACCGAACTAGTTAACTGTCATGTTGAAATTTCCTTCGTTTTGAAGGGCTTTTTGTACAATGCAAATTATTAACAAGTATTTTTTATTATTATTATTATAAAACACTGTAAGAAAGCATGCGCCTAAATCCAGACTATTTACATCCAATAATTAGATTGAACTCGAGATTCGTATGAGGTGATGGTTGACGAGGCCAAAGCAACTTGGAGAAATCGAGGGCGAATCATTTCATTGTGTACATATTAATGTAAAAACAAGTGTTCAATATCTACGAAGTTACAAACTTGTGAAGAACAATTTTGCTATTATTTCTGTGTACCTGTTGTTAGAGGAATAATATTGACACTGGCTCTAGTCTGTACAAGTGCAATTTGAACGTCTAGTCAGGCAGAAAATTTTCGCTGACATAGATGTTTCGCGTAATATCTAACACGAGAGACAGTGTTTCATCTCGGATATCCAAACACCTAGAAGTGAACTGAAAATTTGACGCGCAGCGGAGTATTTTTGACGAAATTCCAGGTGTTTGGATAACCGATGAAACACTGTCCCGAGTGTTGGATATATCTTCTCAATCGAAACAAAAACTATGGAGTAAATGGAGAAGTAAAATCGTCAAATTAAGACCGGGTATCGAAACCTTCACGGTTGTGATTTTCTTTGATTTAACTTGATGAATTATTAATGTTGAGACGCTTAGAATACCTCTGTTGAAAATTTTGTTCTTTGAGTTCATGGACTTGGTTTTTGTAATTGCCGCAATTCTTAACCACAAATATATTTACAAGTTTCGCGTTAGACGTGGAAAGAAAATCTATTGAGGCAAGCATACTTTGTTCCAAATAACAGTGGAAGTCTTTTGAAAGCTCCTCGTTACTGACTGGAACTAGGGACAGTTCTTTCTCAACTGAAACTGTAGTTCATTAAAAAATGTTATTTCCGGACGTCTGTTGGAGTGGATTGTTTGTCCGTGTTACGCGCCTTTGAATTCGATTGCGTATTTTTACTAAAAGTGAGTGATCACGTGATAACGATATGGTTCTCCGTAAAAACAATTGAATTGTACGATGGAGATTTCTGCCAAAAGGAACCTCAGCGCCTTAACGATGGATGCATCTTCCCCTAACAAGAATTGGTGGAAACGAGTGCACCTTGATTCGTTGTAGTACATTTGCAATGAGCAAGTACTTTCGTGCGGGAAATGCGTATAGATTAATAACGCGCTTTACCAAAATCGTTTTTTTCTTTGTCTGACGCTTAGCCGCAGTTTTCACTTAGTACGCCCCCCCCCCCGCCGGGGAGGGAGGGGTACTTCCTTATATGGGCTATATAGGTAACTGCGGCCCCAAAGGGTATGGCCTTTTAGAGTTCTTTTCGCTGTTTTGGTCATAAATAAGATATCGACTTTGGCCATTTTGGTCACAAATAGGGTATAGTTGTTGCACTCTAGTCTTGCATTGGGTGTGTTTTTTTCGAAGGAGCTACTCTTTCATCATTATCGATAAGACCAACGAAAGCCCTTCACAATGCCTTTAAAATCGTTCTGATCTAGGTATACAATTATAAGGCAGGTCTGAAACAGGGCATTGATTTAAGGATCACGTCTTAAATAGGATATCAAAGTTTTTGTCAGGTCATAAATAGGGTAGGGAAAATCACAGATTTTGGTCTTAAATAGTGTAAGGTCTTTGGAAAGTGGGCAGCAGACCCCCACCCGTTTTTTTCTGTGGGTACACCCCACCACCCCTCCCCCCCCCCGCCCCCTTCTCCGGGGACGCGGCCTTCGAGGCCGATGGGAAGAACTGTGAGGCGGACTGAACTCACTGACATCATGTTAGTCTGAGCAGGAATCAGGGGAGACATAAAAGGGTTGAAGACGCGACATTTTTGATAAACCAGATATAAAGCGGCTCTCTTATCTGTATAAACTCCCTTCGTTCTCAGGTTAATTAGTGTGTGTTTCTTGAGCCAGAAATACGAAAATGATGTTTGCATGACTTTTGGAACAAAAAGGTCTTCACGAAGAGCGAATTTTGATGTATTTCCATGTACAATATCTGCGGAAACTGATAACTGTGATAAGCAGTTAATGTAACTTATGTATCGGCAAAATTATTCCATTAATTCAGGCGCTATATCTTTGATATGTTACAATACAATCTCAAGGGCTTTCCGCTTCCGTCGGTAAATTAGGTTCGATCAGTTCTTGGTTTATACGTTGTCCTTGGGACGTCATAGATGTTCTTTTAAAATCTCTCTCGCATAATTGACATCCATTATTTCCACTGACAAATTGAACGCCATCCACGCTGATCGGTTTTTCGCGGCACAGCACTGTATTTCTTTCTTCATTTATCTCTGGGTGTTCTTTCTCCTTTAATTCATAACTAGAACAGGAAAAGGCTCGCAAGCGAACAACGTGTAACTCGGCACTTACTCCAAGTTCTTGCAACCAACCCACGGGTCGCCCAGTGTACGGAAAGCTTTGTCTCTCCATCTTTTTGACTGTAGGACGCTTGAAGGTAGCTGATATCGCGGGCATAGAGAATGCTCTCTGACGGCTATTAAATGTTTTGTTTGTAACTTCTCCGCTAGACGACGAGCGCCGGCGAATCACGTCTTTGAAGGCTGACGAGCGCAAACAATATAAGGACGGGTTAATGGCGCAATTGAGATATCCAGTCCAATAAGCAATACGGCCAAGGTAACGTGGCAGATTTGAGGCGTCGTTAAAGGTGACCGCTAGTGCAATCAAAACGAAAAACGGCAACCAGCAGATAAGGAAAGTTCCAAACATAAGACACAGCGTGACCGCGAGTTTCCTACTAACAGCAAGGAGCTGATTAGGTCGGCGTTTTATGCTTTGGTTGATTGTTCCTTCGTGTGAACTGACTTTCAAATAGATTCGACAATACGCGAGAGACATACTTAAAACTGGAATAATAAATGCGATCAGAGCAAGAAATCCCAGTTTCAATTTGTCTTCTAATGTATCAGGAAAAGCTATTCCACAATGTGCCGTAGTCGGGTTAAATACAACGTAACTCCAATTTTCGAAAGGACCTAGCGATATTAACGAAAAAACGAGACAAAGAGTCCAAAGACCTATCAAATGGTACTTCGCTCTTTTTTTCGTAATCTGGAGCCATTCACAAGATGGTTGCTTCACAATTGTGAAATAGTTTTGAGCGGCGATCAGAGACAAGGTAAAAATCGAAATGCAGAAGAATAAATTGTTCAGAAATCCATTTACGAGGCACCAGTGCTGTTCCAATGTAAATCTTCTACGAATACTGTTGATGAATGCGAACGGAGTACACATGCTCAGCGCTCCAATGTTTGCTATAGCAAGATTAAAAAGGAAAATAAAAGTTGGATTTCTCAAATTCTTGTTTTTGTAAACAACGCTGCAGATGTATAGATTTCCAGCGATGCCAAACACGACAATAATACCAAGAAAAACCGCTTGAAGTATTCCTTCTTCTTGTCCATAGATAAACACAGTTGTGTTGACATGACTAAAATTCGACGAAAAATTCAACATATTCGGACAAGCTTTGTTGCAGATATCCTGTAATCTACTGGTCAAGCTCTTGAGTTAAAACCAGTTTATAATGCTGACGTTATTGCTTCCGTAAAAAAAAAAAAATGATTTTCTGGCTTTCAATTCACGATATCCCTTCCTGATGGCAAAATGTCACAGTTTCCGCCACCAAATGATAGCTAGCCTCTTTTATGCCGCTGATGATATCTGCATTCAGCGCCGGTCATTCGGCTTGATGTATAAAGCTAGTCCGTTTGTGTCGAACCAATGCAACCAAGATGTCACTGAAGATAATGTCTTGCTCTTGTTATTGTATTTCCGTTAATTGCCAGCAATGTGAATAAAAAATATTGTAATAATTTCGACAAGGTGTTTTCCTGCGAACCCAACAAGGAAAAAGTCGTGGAATATTGTCATCTGTTTTACAGTTTGCGAGTATTTGTTGAAAAAATTTGGTTGAAAATGTCAAGTGCAAATAGTATATTGGCCGCATACAGTATAAAACTGAATACCGGGCCGAAAATATCGCCTTTACAACAATGGTTGTAGCTATGACAACACGTGGTTCTTAAAAAGGTAAAAAGGGAAAGAAAACAAAATGATTTCAAGAAGTGAAGTGAAGTGGTGATTATGTGCCAAACGAGTGTGATAATAGTGCAAACGACTTAAAATAACGGGCGTTTACGTTTGGCACCATTCCAGAGACATGCCGAAAGCAAAATCAATTGCTTGAATTTTAAGTATTTTCCAACGAAGCATTTCAATTCGGCTCTCACTTTGCATTATTGCTTTCTTAAGCCAGGGTGAAAAATATCTTCACCACCGACATTGTAGTTAAGTTTTCCGCTGAGGTGCGGTTAATATTTAAATATAACAAGCTCCCGACACTGCAAATAAGCATAAATCCCGCCAATATAAAGAAAATCGAAACCATACGAGGCAAAACACGTTTTGATTATGGCTTCCTTTCATTTGCATTGCCCCATTGCAAAGGACAAAAGAAATCCAAATTGCTATTTCAAAACTCTCACTACAACTAATATTTTTCCTATTTATTATAAAAGTGATCTTTTTAATAATAACTTGATGGAGAAACTTTTCTGATGTGCTGATAAGTTTTCGATATACAGTATTAAACCACACCC